TCATCTGGGTGAAGGCTAAGCTCCTTGTAACGTCTGATGTCACAAGAGCTGCTTTGGTCAATTAAGATGCGCTTTACTTGGAATTCCCCAACCTAGAGGGATACTACCAAGGCATTATTATGTGGATGTTGCACCATCTCAAGGTCGGCTTTAGTAAAGGACACTACGGGTCCTTGGCACTCTTCTGCCCGATGTCTCTTCTTCCTGACTTGGTAGACATGCTGTAAGTGTTTTACCTTCTGGGTCTCCCCCCGAATCTCATTTTCGTTGACCTTTGAGTGAATCACATTAATTACCCGAGGTCCTCCTGCCTGAGGTTGCTGTGCTGGGGGAGGCAGGGCTGCTGGTGCCTGAGGCAATCTTGCCTGTTCTTCCCTTGTCCTGGCCTCATCAACAAGGTCTCTCAGATGGCCTTGCCTCACCAGGTCTTCTAAGTGTGTTTTCAGGGCTTTATAACCCTGAGTCATGTGCCCATCTTCATTATGGTAAGCACAATGCCTGCTAAGGTTTCTTCCCATAAACTTTCCCGGTGCCCTCACCGATGCTCTGAAATAGGGTTGGCTCTGAATTTTTTTCAGGACTTTGTGAATCGGGATTTAGAACACAGTTGTAACTGCCTGTGTAGCCCTCAGTCCTGTGTCTTGTTTGCTGGATCCATTGTTACCTCGGCCTCGCTTCGGCGAGCCGTTTCCTTTTTCTTGCTTCGTCTCCTTAGCTCCTGATGCATCTTCCTCGGCTTTGTAATATTTCTCAATTCTGGTCATGAGCTCTTCCATGCTTTTTGGCAATGTATTTGCCAAAGACTTTCGTAGTGGACAGTCGTCTTTCAGGCCGTTCTTGAAAGACACGACCGCTACCTCCTGGTTGCACTCGGGTATTCGGTTGAACACCTCATAGTACCTTTTTACGTAGGCCCTAAGGCCTTCATCCTTACTGATTCTCAGAGCCATCAATGCGTCCACCCTCAATGGTTGTAGCTTGTTTTTCATGAACTTGGCCACGAACATCTCGGCCAGGCCTTCCCAGGTCTTCACACTTCCCTTCGACAGTTTGTGGAACTAATCTGATGCAATCTCTCCGAAGGATGAGGGGAACATTTTGCAGAGCAACGACTCGTTCCCACTATACAATGCCATTGAGTTCAAATATAATCCAACGTGGAAGTTGAGGTTTGACTTACCATCGTATATTTGGAACCTCGGCATACTAAATCTCTTCGATGCCTCAAATTTGTCCAATTCTACCGAGAATGGTGTTCTCGGCTTAACAGGTGAAGTTACTTCGGCATCGACATTATGTTGTTTCCTCTTGAGGTAATCTCTCAAGTCTTCCTTGCTCTGCCCAGGAGCTCGGCTATCTCCCGACTTCAGCCTTTCGGCATACTACTCTCAGTTTCGTTGTGGGCCCTTTTTGACCCTTCTCCATGAGTTGTGTTGAAGCACAGCTCTTGTCTGTGAACATGCCGATGTTCTATGGGATCTGCTTCTTTAGCGCGAAGTGTCTTCCGAGACTCTTCCTTTCCTGGCTCTCCACGCCCGACCTCCCTTGAAGGCTGGTGAGAATATTTTTCGCTTCTGGGGTGCTGGGGAGCTATAGGGATAGTTTTCTGTCCTCCCTTCTGGGCATTGGTCGCTGGAATCGGCGTGTCCTGCAGCGGGAATGGTGGCTGCATGACATTATTTTGCATCATGAAATTGACGACCGATTGTAGGTCTGCCAATTTGTTCGCCATCTCTTTCACCTCTTCGTCCCTCCGCATGCATCTATCCTTCCATACCTGGAGGTCGTCATTGTTGTAGTATCTGCTCCGATTTGGTTTCCTTGGCACGTTGCCATCCTGGCCAATGTCTTTCTTGCCATGATTCTGGTTCTGAGTCTCCTCATTGAGGCTATCTTCTTCCACGTTTGGGTCAACGTGTTTTCCACTCCCAGCAGGGATTTCGTCCCCAACCTTATCCTTTTGTTTGTCACTGGACATCTATTCTCCTTTCTTTCCCACAGACGGCGCCAAATTGTGTGAGTGATTTTCTGATCACACTGCCAACTCAGTATTTAACTGGAGAGTACTGGCAGAATAGATGGCACCTGTCTGACCTGCAACAGAAAAAGAAGATTCCGACGGTGGTTCGTCCACCCGGGGGCACTCCGACGATCAAGTCAGTATATCTCTCAAAGATAATCAATAGTGCTAATCTCACTGTTCATAATATAAATTGCGTACCTTAGACCCATCGGGGGTGCCTTTCTTTTATAGTTAACTCAATCCTAGTCCCCATAGAAGCCTAGCTTCAATGGACTTCTGCTTAGTGCTTATCCTGGATTTTCCTAGAGATAAAGATAAACTCCCTAAGAGTGTTATCCTTATCCATACTAAAGTCCTTCCTCATTCTTGGACTCTTATACTTTATCCGCTTATCTCGGATTCCGATATCTTCGGAGATAACCTCGGCCTAACCGAGATTACCTCGGCGTCATAACCTGGACACGTGGCACCTCGGCTGACACGTCGGCGTCACCTTCGCCACGTGTTGGGACTTAGAAAATATATCCCCACAGATATATATATATATATATATATAATTACCCAGATGAACATATATATTGTTACATTGATTCAAGACTCAAGCCATTCCAAAATGATCAAGAATTCAATCCAGCAATATTAAACTTCAATCCCATTTTGTCAGAGTGAAAACGAACTGAAATGTGCTTATAGATGACAAATTCATGAAAGATTTGTTCCATGACACTCTTGGTTTTGGTGCCGCCAAAATGATAAGGTGAGATAGTGATTTCCTTCTCTGCTTACTAGAATTTATGTACCCTCTTTCTTTATCCCTGCTATTCCTGTGTTTTTTTTTTCTTTTCATTTGCCAAAATTCCTTTGTGATTCACCATTTCCTATTTGCATGGACCAGGTTTTAAAGATTTGTAACAAACCTTGATCATAGGAATGCCAAGAAAATATAAGTTATAATTTTTCATGTGATCATCCATTTTATTTCTATTATTTCATTAACATCTGTTTACTGGTGTTCGTTTTGTTCACTCATACATATGTTTGGTGGACTTGGTTATATTTGCTGAATAAAATTCTTGAAGTGTGTAGAATATCTACATTTGAAACTTATTTTTGTGACCTTAAGATTACTCATTCACTTCTAAGCACCTCCTTTTATGGATGCAACCTTAATTGTCAAATCGAGATTTGTATCGTGAATCAAAATGACCTTGTACCGAATCGCGAATCGAATCGAATCGTGAATCGTAAAGGTATAAAATTAACAAATCTATATGACACCAGTATAGATTCTTTACTGTACAGGTATAAAATTAACAAATCTATATGACTTCTTGATATAGATTAGAGGCATACTGGATAAAATTCTATGTAACTCTCTTCTATATACCATATTGTCACAGATGTGGGCACATGTGCACGTGTTCAAAATGCACAGACAATCTGGTCCAAGGAAGAGTAAAGTGCCCAATGTGCCTAGCACCTGTAATTGAGATGATACGTGCCTATTCTATCCAATAATAATAACCAAGAAAATAATATGATATGTGCCTATCCTTATTAGTTGCTCTCCAACTCCATCCAGGCAATATAAATAAATTTTACCTTTTTTTTTTTGATTTGTTTTACAATAAGTACATGTGATTTGCTTAATTTATGACTAGAATGCCAGATGGCATACCGGAATACCAGATGACAATCAGTACTTGATAGCATTTGCAATGTACTATAATTGTGTTTTGGTGTTTGATTATCTAAACGTTGATTGATGAAACTAACCTTAAAATCTTACTATACATGTTCTTATTATCATGGGGATTTATGTATTAGCTTTTATCTCTTCATGATTTTGATGGTATTTATTGCTTTGTTCTAGATTTTCTTCAAAAAGATTATAATTTGCAACTGTTATCTATTTATTTGTTGGTCAAAAGGATAAATTTTGCGGAGGGGAAGATCTGATTCTAGAAAGAATTTGCAGCTTGATTTTTGAAATAGGCCCAAAATTGAAATCTTGTTGGAAATTTTTTATTTTTTTATTTTTTGTAAGAGCATTTAAATATGCAAGTGTGCTGATTAGTGAATTTCAGAATTTATTTTATTTTTTTTAGGATTGGGGTGAATTTTATAATTTAAATATGCTTTTATGAACATGTACAGTTTAATTGTTCTTTGTAAAATATTGAATTTGATGGTTTTATCAATTTTTATTTTTATTTTTATTTTCTGTTATGATGTTTTTGTGAATGGAATGTAAATAACCAGCTCAGAGCATATTTTATATTAATTAAATTACGAAATTAAGTAAAAAGGTTCAAAACGCCACTATAAGAATCAGTGACGTTTATAAAACGCCTTATACCTATAGCGATGACGTTTTGCCGTCGCAAAAAAGCAATTTTTTTGAAATGTAACGCCTTTAGCGACGGTATTTTTGCCGTCTCAAATACACTTTTAGCGATGATATTTTTGTCGTCGAAAAAAACCCTTTTAGCAACGGCAATACTGTGCCGTTGCAAAAAACTCAGATTTTCATTCATTATTGGCGATAGAAATTTGCCGTCGCAAAAAGGCATTTTCCCGTCGCAAAAACAAAGGCGACGGCACTGTGCCGTCGCTAAAACCCTTTTACAACCCCCTTTGTTGCGACCCCCACTTGCCGTCGCAAAAAGCCATTTTACCATCGCAAAAACCTTTTGAGACGGCGCTTGGGGTATTTGTGACGGCGTTTTGCCGTCGCAAAAAACAATTTTTTTTTGTAGTGTTGCATTCAAAATGAGAGAATTCAATAACCACATTTAAATCATGAGAAGCAGAAGAAAAGGGCAACTGTATGTTGAGTCGGTATCAAAGGAAAACATCCTTAGCCAATCCAGTCTCATCAACATACCAAATCATAATTGTTTTGCAAGAGCCAACTTTTCCTTGTACAATTTCAATAGCTCAGGAGCTTTTTCCTCATGGCAGTTCACAAACTTCTTTAGGAAGCATTTTCAGTAGATACCAACATATTTATAAAGCTATTATTGTTGTTCTTGATCAAACCTTTCGATAACAAAACTTCATAAACTGCCCATCTCGGAACAATCCTTTTCTCTAAGCTCAGTGACACCAGTACCGGCTTTCTTGCAATAAGTGAGGACTCCCAACCAATTTTATTGACAAAAAAATCATCACTCTCATGATCTTGTTCTTGGGCACTGTCATAAACACAGGGTGTTTCCCAAAAGCCGCAAGAATCTCATCCTCAGACCAACCCCACTTCTTATAAACCTCAACCTTCTCCCCCACATTGATTTACTTATTGACTTCAATACATGAATTGCTAACACAAAATTCAATTTACAAGGATTAAAACCCATTTCCTCTACATCTACCACAATCCTTCTAAAGGTAACAACGTTCTACATGAAACCTCGAGATCGACATATGTACCTTAACAAGACAAAATTTTTCTTATTTGGCATACCCACTTCTCTCAGAAATTCAATATTGGGTACACATGCTTCAGGATCAAGCAAAAGAAGCCAGCAACAGCATTTAATAGCCAATATGGTTTCGTCTTGGGATTGAATCAAATTTCTACAGAAATTGAAAGATGGTATGATTTGGTTTCTCAAGCTTCTATCCAGAACCTTTGGTGCTGAAGATAGCATTTTGGCAACATCGGTGCTTGAAATGCCTTTAGATTTGAAAAACTCGAGTTTGGGCAAAAGGGTTTTATTCGGATCACATAAGAGGACCCGAGGAAACTTCATGACGAGATTTGAGATCTGGGTTTTGGTGAATCGGTGGTTCTCGAGGAGTGCGAGGACTGAGTCAGGCTTGTGTGGAGTTTCGAATTTGACTTGTTTGGATAATGAGACACTACAAGAAAATATACCTTTGGCGACTAAATTTTTAGTCGCCAAAAGTCCCTTTTTAGTCGCCAAATGTCAAATTTCCACTTTCCCCGACAAAATCTTTTAGTCGCGGGGTTTGTCGCGAAGAGACGGTCGGCAATACCTTTGGCGACTAAAAAACTTTTAGTCGACAATACACAGGTCTTCAGCGACTAAGATTTTAGTCGCCAATAGTCAATTCCATTTTTGGAAATTATACCTTTGGCGACTAAACTATTAGTCGCCAATTGTAAATTCATTTTTTTATTATTTATAAATTTGGCGACTATTTTTTTCGTCGGCAATGCTCAATCTTTTGGCGACCACAGTGTTTAGTCGCCAAAAGCATTTTTGAAAAAAAAAAAAAATTTCCCTTTGTGCCTTAGACCTCCCACGCTTCGAACCTGAGACCTCCAGGTGGTTCCAAACCATAACCACATACTCAACCCCACTATGCCACTGAACCATCTCATGACTATAGTTGCAACTTATATTATTTATATATTACTTTCACCAGTATTATATATATAAATGTAATTATATATATTCATTATAATTTATGTAAAAAATAAATTATTTATTAAAAAAAATTTAGATCATTTTTGGAGACTAAAAAAATTATTTAGTCTTCTATTATTTTTGGGCTACTAATTAATTTTCCGTCGCTAAAGAAAACTATTTCGCCTAAAAACCTACCCTTTTGGCGACTAAACCTGTTTATAGTCGCCAAAAACCTCCCTCTTTGGCTACTAAAGTGAATTTTAGTCGCCGTAAACCTGTTTTTAGCTACTAATTTTTTTTTAGTAGCCAAAAAGCTTGACCTTCAGCGACCAAACTATTTTTAGTCGCCAAAACAGGTACAATCAGCGACCAAAGTGGTTTTTAGTCGCCAAAACCTTAACGTTTGGCTACCAAATGGTTTTAGTCGCCAAAAACCCTAACCTTTGGCTACTAAAAATTTTTTTGTCGCTAAAACCCCTATATTTGGCGACTAAACTGCCTTTTAGTCGCTAAAACCATTGCATTCGGCGACTAAACTCTTTTAGTCGGCAAAAGTGACCAATTTTGGCGACTAATTCCAGTTTAGTCGCCAATTCTACGACTTTCAATGGCGAAAATTCCCATTTTAGTCGCCAATAGTGTTTTTTGTTGTAGTGAGAGAGCTTTTTCTAGAGGAAGCTCACATGAGTTTATGAGGTAATTCACTGTGAATGAGTGTTGATTTGGAGTGGCTTCGATTGATGATGATGAAAAAGAGCAGTGGATTTGAAGGAAATAGAGATTGTGGTGGTGGGTTGGTGAAGAAGCTCTAATCGCAGACCTCAAATGGTGTAAAGATTTGCGGATTAAACTAGACGTTGATGAATTTTTTTGGCAAAAGGATGAGGGAATTACCTGTTCTGCAGAAGATTTCATCGGAGTGTTTTTGCCCTAAAACCCACTTAACTGAACATCCAACTTATATAATTTAGACGATTCAAATGAGTTCAAAGCTTGGGATAAAAAACATGGATTTATCTAATAATTGTATTATCGTTCAAAAAAAGTCTAATAATTGTATTAATTTTTATTTTATCACTTTTATTTGAAAAAAAATAATAATATACAAGATGATAGAAATATGGATAATCATTATAACATTGTTATTTGATAATACAAAATTGAATAAATTATAAAAATATAATTGATATTTGTTAAAATATAAATTACCTCTTATAATTTTGAAAATTACGTCTCGCTTATTGACGTTTCAAATTTCATAATAAATAATTCTTTTTATTAATAAAATATAAAGTCAGTTAATATTTTTAATTATTTCATAAATTTATTTCAATTAATAATTTAAATAATTTTAGTATTATATAGAAGAACAGTTAGAAATTTTATTTTTACAATTAATTCTATTAAATAAAAAATTCCAACAAGACATATTTATAATTTTTCAAACTATAAAGGGCAATTCATATTTTAAACAAATCTCAAATAGTACATTTGTAATTTATACAAAAAAAATTGTGAACGGATTTAAACGGGCAAGGCATTTGGCATTTACATTTTTCTATTTTACTCGGCTAGACGAATTAAAAAAAGAAAAATAAATAAATTATGACAGATAAAAAGAAATTTTTCTTTAGTAATTTTTTCTTTTTTCGGATTTATTTCCATCTACACTATTGATCAGAAAAATAAAAAAAAATTGATACAAATTTTTTTAAAAAAATTTAAAGACAAAAAAAATTATTTTAAGAAATAACTCTTTTGGTTGGATGCCAAACTAATGTTATAATCCCAATATCTGACAATTAGATGATCCTCTTTTATACTTTTATCTAATCACATTGTCATCCAACAACTGATTAACAGTATTCAAACTAAAAATTACCATGACAATAATTGTGACAAAATACAAATAAGTAAATTACATTGATCTCCCTCGATGTTTATAACAATTGTATATACCTTCCTAAGGTTTTTAAAATGACCCCCCTCAGGTTTTGGAAAATAATGTGTGTTACTTTCTATATGCAAATTCTATATAACACACATCATAGATAGGTTTGAATTGATGATTTCATAATTATAGATGTAAGCATGACATTTTTCCAACACTACCATTTAGCTTTGGATTGCTTGTGAAATACCAAGCTCATTACGAATCAAAATGAAATATAAAAGAATAAAAAAACAGTATCCAAATTGATTCCCAAAAACCAAATTTAGCATGTATGTAAAACTTAGTTCTGAGTATAGAATATTATGAATGTGGATCATAGACAAGAACAGAGATAGCCTCATACAAGGGTATCCTAAGAACATCTCCAACATTTAATCTTTTTTTTTTCCCCATCAAATTTGAGTAAAACTTTCATTTGACATCGCGCGTTCCAACAGAGCATTTTGTAATTTCATCAAATCACCGATCGACTGACCGGGAAATGTCCGGCCGATCAACCAGCCAGTGTAATCCTTTATTCTGTAACTCTTGCAATTGGCCCATGAATTCTCTCAATTCGGCACATGTAAACCAATATGGTTGCTTAGAAATTAGAACAGTTCCCAAAAGCAACTCAATAGTGAACGCCTCTCCTTGGTGGTAAACCATACAAGTCTTTTGGAAACACGTTTGGATATTCATAGACTATAGAAAAGAAAAAAAAAAAAAATTATATTGATTTATTTCCTATCTTGTTTGGTTAATTATAGAAAAAAAAAGATATAATGTTATATAACCAAATTAACATTTTTTTAGTATGTGTTAAAATATTTATTTATTCTATATCTAAACAAGCAGTTTTGGTATTATAACAAAATAACATTTAATGATTTCATTACTTCACTTTTGAAAAGATTGAAAATAGAAATTATAAAAGAAATGTATTTCTCTCAATTTCTCTCATATTTAGTAAGGGAATTTGAACAAACCCCCTCATAATAAAACTTTGATGCATTAAGAACAAGTACAAAAAGTTTTTCTTGAAAAGTTCAACACATATTACTATTTTCAAAATGTTAAATTTTAAAATAATATAACTTTTGATATAGATATTGATTTTTAATAAAATTAATATTTTTAAAATTCTCTCACCAAAATCTATCAAATAAAATCCATTTTGATTATGAAATTTTTTATAATTTTTTTTATTACCATCAAAATTAATGTAAATAGTGACAATAACATTTTACTCTGTTTGACAGTAATATGTTATTTTATCTCACAGTAACATATTACTTTGACAATATTGTCAAAAAATATATATATATATATATATATATATTTTACTTTGTCCTTATTCAATTATGTGTTTTCTCATTTGGAAGTATGAAATAAAATAAACTGAGTTATCATTTTCACCAAACAAGGAGTCCAATGGAGAGATTTTTGCTAAATTTCTCTATTTAGTAATCCAAACAAGGAATTGAAAGGTGTTAAAAAAATAAAAAAATAAAATAAATAAAGTATTGAAAGTATGAAATAAAATAAACTGAGTTATCATTTTCACCAAACAAGGAGTCCAATGGAGAGATTTTTGCTAAATTTCTCTATTTAGTAATCCAAACAAGGAATTGAAAGGTGTTAAAAAAATAAAAAAATAAAATAAATAAAGTATTGAAAGTATGAAATAAAATAAACTGAGTTATCATTTTCACCAAACAAGGAGTCCAATGGAGAGATTTTTGCTAAATTTCTCTATTTAGTAATCCAAACAAGGAATTGAAAGGTGTTAAAAAAATAAAAAAATAAAATAAATAAAGTATTGAAAGTATGAAATAAAATAAACTGAGTTATCATTTTCACCAAACAAGGAGTCCAATGGAGAGATTTTTGCTAAATTTCTCTATTTAGTAATCCAAACAAGGAATTGAAAGGTGTTAAAAAAATAAAAAAATAAAATAAATAAAGTATTGAAAGTATGAAATAAAATAAACTGAGTTATCATTTTCACCAAACAAGGAGTCCAATGGAGAGATTTTTGCTAAATTTCTCTATTTAGTAATCCAAACAAGGAATTGAAAGGTGTTAAAAAAATAAATAAATAAAATAAAATAAAGTATTGAAAATCATTTCCTCAATTTCTGTTCTTCTCTCAAAATCACTCGAACCAACAAAGTGTAAATTTTTTTGTGACATTATTAGATTTACTTTCATCATCATATGATAAAAATCTAAATCAAGTGTCATAATTACATATTATCATGCTCACATAGACAAAAAAATAGACGCCCAAGCAACCCAACGTCGATCACAAAGACCTCTATATGTAATTTTATGGCTTAGGCTTCTCTCTAATCTGAAATCAAACTAATTGTTGATCTTCGTGGGCCTACCACAGATTCCACGTCCCAATTAGAGAGAAGCATTGTCCTATTTTATAGACAAGGCACATAACTCCATTTGATTAAGATGGAATGCATATTCAAAATCAAAAACCTAAAAACATCGACGATTCCACTGGGGATTGAACCCAGAATCTGTTGAGCTCCTTTTTCCTTTGCTATAGGCCACCTGACATGAAAAGCTTCAACCACCTGCAAAACATGAAGAAAAATTCTTTAAGTGCACTGGACACAACTGTTTCACATTAAGTGCATACCACTAAGACTCTGTTTGAATTATGGATTTGGATAGAAATTTGGAAAGGAGAAATGTGGGTGAAATGTAAATGAAATATAGAATTATGTCTAGTTCCTTTTCTAAATTTCTATCCAAATCCATCATCCAAGCATAACGTAATTGTGCAAGCCTCACCCTATGTAAGAGAATTATGTTCAGTTATGTGATTGGATTCTATTCATGTAGAAGAACTGGGAAAAGAATATACCATTCGACAAGACACGAGTACCAGTCATCACTAATGTATGTGACATCAGTGGATGCACTGTGCACTAATATTGTTATATTTATTTTGCATAGGCTGCTTTACATTCTCATCATCTAATCCTATTAAGCATCACTGCCAGCACATGCACATTTGCGGACATGCACACAAGAGTGTTCTATATTTAGTGCTTTATACAAGTCAAACATAATTGCAGATAAGAAACTCTTGTACTCAACCTCCACTTACCCTTTTCATTGTGAGCAAAGGTTTCACAATTAAATACTAATTTGGTCAGATGGAACATACCAACGAGATCTATAAAAAGCATATACCAATTAGAGAAACATGTGCTACATAATCCAAGAAATGTCCACATTTAACCATAGTATCTTAAGCAAAAAAAAAAAAAAAATTATGTCAGCATTGGCATGATTCATTATTACTTTTTCTAAACATTAAAATCAGATAAAAAAATTCTTTACTTTCCACTAGAGCCTTTAACATTTTGATGGTTTTAAAATTCACATTATATGCATTTCATATATGCACATCTTTGCACGGATAAACATAGTCAAAGCAAGCAGCTGAAGAAATCAAATATGGACCCGTACTGATTGCAAGTAGAATACAATCTATTATGTTATCAATGTAATTGGTAGATGACATGAAAGGTGGAGCCCATTAAACCAATGCATTGACAACACAACAGTTGGTATCCAAATCTGGTCAAAACATAGCATTATTGATCCCCCCACCACCGAACCAAAAGAAAAAATATATAGTTGTTTTATTTACAACAACAAAAGCATCACACTGATAATGATTTGAATCGCAAAAACAGTTGGTATCCAAATCTGGTCAAAACATAGCATTATTGATCCCCCCACCACCGAACCAAAAGAAAAAATATATAGTTGTTTTATTTACAACAACAAAAGCATCACACTGATAATGATTTGAATCGCAAAATCCTCCTAGGATATAGCCATCTCGATTTTTTCCCGTCGTTTATTATGTGCCGGACTCGGGTTCGTGGTTGTATGTTGTTGTTTATATCTTGTTTCCATCCTTTAATTCCTTGTATTTGAGTTTTGG